TATATATATATGACCTTCTTGTGTTGCAAGTGCCGTAAAACTCTTCCTAAAACAAAATCAACTACCACCCGGACAGGTACGGGGTCATCGTGGCGGCTGTTGTGACCTGCATCTCGTCCTTGACTCAGAACTTTGTGGAGAAAATCTCCCGCCTCTTACGGCACCGCCGACTTTCCCCCACAACGAAACCATCGCCAACAAAGTCGTCCACCGCCGCGAACATTCCAGAACACTCGACAAAGTCTTTGGATCTTCAAGACCGGCGCTCCGACCGAAGAACCAGCCCGTTTGTTCTCGGGGGAGATCGACCTAGATTCGGAGTGGGCGCCAAAGCCTCATTACCTGCTCACGGTGTTGGTGGTAAAAACTTATTCAATCAGCTGAGGTGCGATAAAGATCTTAATCCAAACGAGATTGACATAGTTGAAAGGTTTTTTGATTCTTCTTACAGTCTCTGCAGGCCTAACAGAGGGCGAAATGGCGCAATAGGTCGCGGTTCTGCAACTCGGAATGAGATTCTGGACACTAACTTCGGAGGAACCCAGTCATTTTTTCTGGACTCCGGAAGTGGCGGAGACACCGGGTATAATACCCGGATGTACAACCGGAAGCCGTCTGCTGTCGTGTTTAAGGGGGTTTCCCCGACGGAACGTGAAGGTCAGAGAGGCGCTCTCCGCAGAGGGGGGAGCAGGGAACAGCTTGTGGATAATATAGTCGATGCCAGTGGCGTCGTTGATCCCACGGAGAGACGTAATCGTTCCGCCGATACCCCAAAGCTGCGATATCGAGGCTGGAAAACTACCAAATGTAGAACGGGCGGCAAGAGGGCCGGGTTCGAAACGAATGCAGCCTCCCGAACTCGAAAAGACGCAGATCTAACCCTTTCGCCGCCAGCAGGCCTACTCCACAACCATGCCACTACCAAGGATCTGCTCAAGACGGTCTCGGGTCAGACGACGAAGGGGTTACTAAACAAGGGCGTTGTTGTTTCAGCGGGTAAATGGAAAGGTAGAGCCGGCGCGGATCCAAGACCGGACCTCCAACCCCCGGTGAGAGTGAGAGCGGACGGCAATAACGCCACGACGACGACATTCACGAAAGAGGCGGCGGCAAGGTCAAGGTCAAGGTGGTCGCTTGGCTCAAATCAGCGCCAACTTTTTCAGCGGGAGTTCCTCCCTGACGTGAGCGGCGGGGCTAGGGGAGGTTTGGACGACAGCAGCCCGCAGCAAGACTTGGAAAAAACCTGGGAGGATCTGTCTTCTGTTCGGCTCTAAGAATAGTAGTAGTATTATTATTATTACAGTAAACAGTAAATGCCTGTCTATCTGTTTTTCATATTGATTTGTTTTAGTGTAGAATGATTTGATGTTTCGTGTGGTGTTTTTTTGCGTTGTTTTTTCTTTTTTGGCTAAGTTTTCATTGTATCTGATTGTTTTGTTTTGGGTGTTTTTTTCTGTTGAATTCTTTTCCGTTTATTTGTTGTTGTTTTTTTTTTTACATTTGTTTCGTTTGTTTGGTTTTGGGGTGTTGTTGTTTTTTGTTGTTGTTGTTTTTTTGAGTTTCCACTATAAATGTGCGTAGAGAGGTGTGGGGGGGGGGGGGGGGGCAGGAGTGGGCTAGTTTGAAGCCGTATAAATAACAACTGGTTGAAACAATCCTCTGCTCGTCTCTTGGAATGTTCTATTGTGTCAATGCGTCTATTTATGCGTGTGTCTATTTATTATAGTTTGGTATGTTTTATTGTTTGTTTTTACTTACCTTTTTTCTTGGTTGTTTTGTTGTTTTTGCTGGGGAAAGAGGGGGGAGCAGTAGTTTTGTGAGCGTGGCAAGAGGACACCAGTGGTCGGTCCCACGTTTTTCCGTTCCCCTGACCACAATTAATGTCTCCGTGCTATTCCTCGCTTGAACAATATTGCTAATTTTCATTGTACAGTCGCAACTGTCTAATTATGACAGTCTCCCATTGTTGAGGAGAAAAGTAGCCCTCTTAAACAGGCGAACGTCTTACATAATGTCCTTATAATGTAAAAAGACACAGGGGTGGGGGTAGGGGTAAGAAGTGGCCGTTTTAGTTATAGTAAGTGTTTAACGGCACTTGCAACGCAATAAGGTCATATAAGTGCCGAAGATTAAAGGTGTTACAAGGGATTAACAAACACAAAAAGAAGGAAGGGAGATAAAGACGATAGATGTTTGATAGGAAAGAAAGAGCAAGCCACACCAGAGCAACTGCCAATCACCCACAGTGGCCATTTGTACAGTGGCAACGCTTCAAACAGGAATAAAATAAAACTGCAATGCATGTTCTAAGGCCGAAAGCTTCAGAAGAGAGCTTGGAATGGTCGCTTTTGAGCACATGGGCGCTTTCCCGAAAAATGATGTTTTGAGAAAATCGAAGGTAAAGTTTTTGCTCTTCGTTCAGTTTCATTAAAAGACAAGGAGAGTTTTCTCTATAACTAAAACTTGTTCTATAGATAGGGCGATGCTCATTTTTAGTGTAGGTCATGATTTCTGGAAACCTCCGAAATCTGGGTTAGCCCTCTTGTCCTTAAAAGCGACCAAATGGACTTGCAGATGGCAAGGTAGGTGTTTAGTTCTAGTGTACTTGAGCTGCATGTCAGAACATACTGCTCTGTTTGTTTGACCCTTTTGTATCATTATTTATGATGAAAATGAAAATTCATCTCTGCGATTTTTACTTTGTTGTGTCGATTACACTGACAGTAATTTATACAAACTGTCATATGAGCTTACATCATGATGACTGGCAGTATCGCAACATTGCTTTTGATGAATTAATTGACTTCATTGAAATGCTTTGCCAGATTTTATTCATGGCTCAGATAATATATTGTTTGAATTTTCAACAATCTTTTGGTCATTTCAATCTTTGTGGTTGTTTCGATAGCGTATTTAGGACTTTAAGGTATTTATCTCTGCATTTCTGGCAATGCTATGGCTTCTTAAAACGACACGAGACCATTGTGAAAGAAGTGCTCGAAGGAAAGATGTGTTTCAGGAGAGCTAGAGGAAGGCGAAGAATAACATGGATGGACAACATAAGAACATGGACTGGACTGGATATGGCAGAATGTGCAACGGCAGCTCGAGACTGTGAAGGATGGAGGGTCATTACACGTTAACCTCTGAGTCAGAGATGACACCTCCAGGTATCCAGATATCCAGATATCCAGATATCCAGGGAACATCATGTACAGAACCCAACCGGCGTCTGTGGTACAGCGGTGAGGCTCCTCGCTGTTGTACGCACAAGAAATGTGTTCGATTGAAACGTGGGGAGGATTTTTATCTTGTGCCTATGCGCTACCTTAGATAGTACATAACAAAATGACACCTCCAGGTGTCCAGGTATCTCTGCTGGCGAGTGAGAAAATAGCGAACATTTTGACTTTACAGGATACCTTTCTTTATGATACTATACTCTTTCAGAATTATGATCTTAACCTGGGTAAAAATTATGAGAAAGTAATCTATATGGTTCTAGTTGGAGAGATGTCAGAATTCCTTAGAATTTGCAGCTGGCTCTGAATATTTCGGCTAAATAAATGGGTATATCTCACTTTGCCACAAACACAAAGTCCTAATAGTCTTATATTGGATTTAAAAAATAATTTTGCCTTTACATTGTCAAATTCTATTGACCCCAATAATTTGTTGTTTAAAAAAAATTGAACTGGAACTAAGTTGGTCGCTTTTAAGGATAAGCGGGCTAACCCAGATTTCGGGGCTTTCCAGAAATCTTGACCTACACCAAAAGTGGGCAATGCCCTTCCTATAGGAGAAGTTTAGTTTCGTAAGTGTGTATATTTGTTTGACTATATAGAAGACTCTCCTTGATTTTCAAGGGGCAAAATCTTTACCTTTGAATTTCTGAAAACTTCATTTTTTTGGGGGGATAGCCCCCTTGTGCTGAAAAGCGACCAGTTGTACTGATACAACTCTTTACGTACCCCAGTAGTTCAAAACACAGAACGAGTAACTTTTCTTACAACACAAGTTAGCCTTTTTTTCAGAATGAGAGTCATGGACATATCTCATTTTGAAAACAAACTCTTCATATAATTATCATTCTCCTCATTTTATCATAATCATCATTATTATTATTGTTGTTGTTATTATTGCTATCATTATTATTATCATTATTATTACTATTATATATATTTTTTACACGTATATTTATTATTTTAATTTTCATTATTTTAATTGTATTATTTTTCTTTTTTTTAATCTAATATATAAACTATATGTTTTGGTTGGTGTGCCGACCGTATCATAAGGACGACAAAGAGACCTACCAAGTGACTCGGTTCTTCTTACATGGCCGCATCTTATATGTTTTAGTAGTTTTAAGGCGCTCGCAACTGCATAAGGTCATATGAGCATCTTATATAACACAAACTGTACTATCTATAGTGAATATGAATGATAAAATTACCCCCTTTTAAAAGCGTTTGTGAATATGAATTATAAAATGACCCTTTTTTGAAAGCGATACTAATACAAGATTTATAGAGAGACCTTTCTTCACGATTCAATTCATGCGATCTTTACACCACCGTTCTTGGTTACTGTTTAATTCATGCAGCTTCTTCGGTCTACTGGAGAACGAGTCTCTTTCAGCCAATGCTTCTATTCAGCAGATTCTTTCCGACACAAGATCTCACACCAATGATGCTTGATTTGGTGAGTCGGTTCTTTTTAGTTACGACTAAGTAAGTTTCGAGCCTTCATCCCCCACCTATGATATTCGATATTTTATGTTTTTTAAGGTATGGTAAGTAAGTTTGCTCTAAATCGTAAGATCGTTCGGAGTCGTTTTCAAAATATTCAAAGAATTGCATTCGAGAAAGCTTGTCATGTTGTGAAACACAATTTTTTACGTCAAATTGCTCGAAACTGGGTACTGGGCAGATACAACGTTGTAATTCTAGGATAGCATAGTGCAGTCGTTGATCTACATGTAATTTTTTTTAAAGAAAAAGAAAAAAAAATAGCACACAGCATTTGAATACCACGTATATAGAAGTGGCTTCAGACTTCGAATTGCCAATAAAATTTCGTTTAATCAAAATAGGATAACACTACAGGTAGCGAAAGTACTGTTTCTTTAACGTAGCATCTTTTTTTATAACTCTTCCTGTCTTCATTATTTTCTTCTAACTACTTAATATCAGCCATTGATTGTATAGATTCAATTCTAGTGTTATATTCATCTATTCATCCAGTGCCAGATCTGTGAAAGACCTCGGCGATCATGGTTCTCCATTTATTCCTTTGCTCGAATGTTCTTAAAAAAGCTACGTTTCCCTGGTTTTTCCCCGTTGCCCATTTGTTTAGGTTCTTAAAGTAGGTTGCTCTGGGCCTACCCCAGCCTCGTTTGCCTTCAATTTTTCTAGTGAGAGCTAGATGTTCAAGACCCTTATGTCTATTCAAGTGTCCCAAAAACTGTATGTTCCTGGTTGTTTTTAACAGTGAGCGCCCCACGTGGGCTTCATCAAGCACTACCTCATGTGATTTCTTTTCCTTCCACGATATTCTCAGCAGTCTCCTAAGAAACCACATTTCTGTTGCTTCAATTTTATTTTCACTGTCTTAAGTGATTGTCCAGCATTCAGAGTCATATAGAAGGGTTGACGACACATAGCTTTTCAGAACTAGTGTAATAATATACTCAAGCAAAAAGATTTATAGTAGAACATTTCTGTCTAACAGTGTTATTTTACACATGTAGAGCTGGATGTCTGCGATCTTGTTACTATAATTTATTATTGAGCTTCCTCGGTCTACCAATTCGTGGCTCGCTTTTGAAACCAATTCTTCTAAATTTCCTGTTCACCGCTAGATTTCCTAGCTAGATTTCCCAGCTAGATTTCCCAACTAAATATGACTTTTTTTCTTTCTTTTTTTTTTACTTTAAAGTTAAGCTGCCGCACATTTATTCTGACGCCCCAATACATAACAACGTATCTGACAAAATGGAATTTTTCAGATTTTTTGGGTGTTTTTCACACTATGGTCTAACCTATATCTTATTCAAAGACACTTCGACGTATCTACAACCAAAATAGTTATTTTTCAGAGTAATAAAGCCTCGGAAGTGATTGATCCCAAAAAATTATGCTTATAACTTATCAATGTCAAAAGCTTTTAGGGGCGCTCATATGTCCTTATGCAGTTGGTAGTGCCGTAAAATCTCCACTAATACAACAACAACAACAAAAAATATTATTTTAAAAAACCCAGCTTTTTGCGTAATGATTATTATTATTTATATATGTTTGTTTTTGTTGTTGTTATTGTTGCAATTTTGCAAT